GGAGGGGGAGAGAGTAACCAAAGAATTTATATGCATATATGCACAACCCAAGGACATGGACAATGGTGGGGAGAGGGGCTGGGGAGGGGGATGGGACAGGGTGGAATGGGTCATTGGGGAGAAAAAGGGACATCTGTAATATTTTAAATAAAAATAAAAATTTAAAAAAATGAAAGCCAGTCTCCAGAAGATAGTTACCATGTTCAATTAGGATATATATTAATGAAAAATTAATACTTATGGGTGGGTGCAGGTTAGAAGGGTCATTGGGGGGAAAAGGGGGATATCTGTAATACTTTCAACAATAAAGATAAATTTTTAAAAATTAGTATTTATCAAGCGCTTACCATGTGTCAGATATGATGGCTTCTTGCCTTATATTTACCTGCCAGGACTTCACATCCTGAGATCATCTGCTAGTGTCTTCTCAGCTTCAACTACTAGTTCTGCTTGCCATTCTTTCTTTTCTGGTAAAGGAAGGAAAAAGCAATGATTTTTCATGTCTGTGCTTAAAGAAATAAATGCAGGTTTTTAAAAAACAGCCTTATTGAGGCATAATTTATAATACTATAAAATTCACTTATTTTAAGTGTATAATTCAGTGACTTTAATATAGTAACAAAATTTTGAAACTATCACCATAGTTGAATTTTAGAACATTTCCATTATTACAAAAAGAATCCTCATGCTTATTTGCAGTAATCCCTGCTCCCCCTTCCCCCATCACAGTATACAGGTGCTTTTGCAAATTTATAGTTAAATACAGTTTGGAAAACATGTTTTCATGTGTTGTTGCTTGCTTCTCTTGGTGATTGATGCACAATTGTACCTAACCCATAACATAGCTGACCATGAGCAATGAAAGGCTAGTCACTCTTGGGTAAAGAACTCTTGGGCCTTGTGGTAGTGAAAGAGAAAGGGTGTCTTTCTGGTTTCATGCTCGATCCTGGACAATATTTTGATAAAGGCAGTTTCTCTTTCAGGTCCTTTTATTTCTCTTTTTCTCTGTCTCTGTCTCTGTCTCTGTTGTCTCTGTCTCTCTCACTTTCTAGCATTTTTTTATTTATTAGAATTAATTCAGACAGTGTATCTGCAAATATGATGAATGATGACTTGCGTATTCAATGAGATGGTGGATTCCTCTAAAAATATCCTTCTAGCAGTTTTGGAAACAGTAATTCAGGGGACTCAAGGTCTTGGCTATCATTTGTAAGGTAGAGACAGCCTACATTTTATAGCACACATTGTACAGGTTACAGAGCATACAGAGTTTAATAAAAAGTCCCTATTGTCAAAGAGATGACTTTTTCTCAGAAAAGGCAGCTAAAACAAGTAATTGTAAATTATTGTAATAAATGTTATTTAAAAAGTGTTGGGGGAATTGGAGAAGGTTTTACTGAAGAACTAAATCTTAAAAGGAAATTACTATTAAAAGTTAGTGTTACGCTTTCTGCTCATTATTGTATTTTATTTTCTGTTAGCAAAAAATTTCAAAGTAGTTGTTTCTGATTGCTAGTCTATCATACTAATCAGAAACTTAAAAAAGAAGTTTCTTCTCAGAAGAGCATACAATTTCATCTTCTTTCTCAAAATATGTGAAAGCTACAAAGCAAGTATATTAAGTTCTCAGTAAAATTCTTACTCATTAAGATAGTCTTTTTTTTACATTGTTTATATATATGATTCATCCTTTAGTAAACCCCATTTTCCTCTTTTTACAGAGTTTTTGTATCTTGAAACTACCTTTTGTCTCTATCTGAAAGTTATTAGTCACTTGGTACTATACAAATTTTAGGTGCCTATGTATCACAACTTAAAAAATATCAAATCAGTATTTAAGTAAGAGAAACTTAGCAGTAATCAGGTGCTGCAATGATGTTGTTTCTGGCTACAGCCATATACAGGGTGTCCCAAAAAAATGTATACACATTTTGAATAATTACTAATTCCAATGGGTTAAGTCGGAAAAGAAAGAAACATCAATTGAGCTATCAGAAAAAGTGTGTATACATTTTTTGGGACACCCTATAGTATTGTTGAAACTATTCAAAGTGGGGGAGGCACTGTACATTTTACTTAGAATGTGCCTTGTCCTTGTACCTTGTCCAGACTGTACCTGGACTATAACTGGACTTATCTTTCAGGAATCACCTCAAATGCCACTATCTCTACAAAGCCTGCATTAATATCCCTTGCCAACATTCATCTTTTCCTCTTCTATGTTCCCCCATCATTTGCATATGTACTATAACCAGCAAGCTTCTTGAAGACTGGACTTGTGTTTTGTCTTCTTCATTTAATACCTTGGTGAAAATAGATATGTGGTGGTTTAAATTGAATCTAGAAAACTAAGGTTAATAAAAATGTGCTTTATTGATCTTTAACACCTCTTTTAGAATTTTGGCTCTAGAATAAAAGAGTCAGTCTCTTACATTCTGTTTACTGCAACCAACTTGCAAATGTAATTCACATGAAATTAGGTAGATTACAGATTTAGCTGCGATAACAAAAAGACCCTGAAATACTGTGGCTTAAACAGGATAGAAGTTTATTTCTCTTTCACATTAGTCTGGAGATGAACTGTTTAGTGTGGATAGAGTAGCTCTGTTGGCAAAATTGATATTAAAAACAACAGTTTCTGTCCCACACTGTTTACATTTGTTTTCATTAAAATAAAAAAGTAGATGGATTGATTCAGGTATCAAAGAACCTGTATATTTGAGTAAGTCATCAGACTTAGAAGATTTTTTTTTAAATTTTACTGTCTGTTCCCTTACTGTAGGTGATGCAGAAGGCCATATAGAAGCCTGCCCAGTGAGAAATGTAGCATCTGCTTTAGTTGACTAATTTTTTCATTTGTATGAAAAAAATAGCAGGTGTCTCTTGTGTGAGAGAAGCTGTCATGGCATTTATAGGAAAGGCGAGTGGAGGGATGGAGTCATAAGGAAAGGCTTTATGGAGAATATGGGACTCTAGTTAGGCATTGAAGATGAGATAGGATTTACATTGTCACAAGCAGAACATTCTAGTCAAGGGAAATGGTGTGCAGGAAAGTTTTAAGATAGGATAATTGAGATGTTTTCAAGGAAAAGCATTAGTCTATTCTCATTGGCTTCCTGAGTGTATAATTTGGAGAAGGGCAAGATAAAATTGATTGAAGAAGGATCAAGATTATAGATGGTTATGAGAGCACAATAGAGGAAAGTAGAAAATTGTGTTAAAGGTTTGGAATCGGAGACTGAATGGGTGAGTTTAATTTGGTAATGGAATTCAGAATGGGTGAAAGCTTTCCCTCTCTCCCAGCCTAATCTTTGTGAGGTTACCTGTGACCTCTCAGTTAACTCATCCAGATGTTCTCTTCTAGCTGTATTCTTGATTTCTCTGAAATTTTTGACACCGTTGACCATCTTTTCTTCAAAACTCTGGTTGTCTCTGATTTTGCACTGCTTTTCATTTTCTCCCTAAGACTTAGTAATGTGCTTTTTTTGCTCTTCTTGGGGCTGTAACTTTTATCTTGAAGACAGTGCTCATGTATAATATCTTTAGTTTAAAGTTTAACCCTATATTACTAATTGCTTGCTGGACATTTTCATCTTGATGTGTCACTGTCATTCAAAGCATTCAACAGATTTCTTGCAGAGTTTACTGAACCTCCAAGTCCCTTTATGCTTTAAATCCCAGATTTAAAGCAGAACTTGCAGCTATCTTGGTCTTTGCCTTCTCCCTTATAACTGTTTCCCAATCATTAAGTCCTGTCTGTTCTTCCTGGTGATTCTCATATTTGTTCATTTCTATTCTTATTGTTGCTACATTTATCACTCCTTTAACATGGTATGTTTGGATTGTTAGTATTCCCTAAGTATTCACTGATGATAAAGTACTAACATTAGTAAGCACATCTTTTCTGTTACTGGAGTTTTGTTTTAGTGTGGTTGTGATTAAGAGATTATTAATATTAGTGTAGTTGATGCTAACTTTTTTGCGTTGTTTTTAGTGAGATGGTGGTGATATGGATAACTCAAAACCCCCCAATATTTGAATTCTAAATACACTTTGACTTTTTTTCTCCTCAGCAGATCTAATTCCTAGTATGTGTTAATAATTTTTCACAGTTTAAATCACATATTCAATAACAATAATGAAAGCAGATCAGGAAGTATGCTGAATGTTTGAGTTGAAGACCTTCTCAAGAATATTCTAGGATTTCGCTATTCAAAATGTGTTCTGTGTTGTCAGTTGGGTACACTGGTTGCTTGTTAGGAATGCAGAATCTCAGGTACCACTCCAGGGCTATAGAATTAGAATCTGCATTCTCATAATATCCCTAGAAATGTGTATACACTCTAGAGTTTGAGAGATACTGATCTAGAACTTACTGTGCTTTTCTTTAACTTTTTTTTGGTTTGAGATTTAGCTGCTAAAATAACGAAATCCTCCAAATATCTGTTTGTTTACCATAGATTTTTGCTTGAATTTTGAAACATCATTATACATGTTATAAATGATGAAGAGTAACTGGGGCAGGCAACTCTAGCCAGCCAAGTCATAGAAGTCCTTCACGAGCAGGCCCCATATGAACCAAGGCTTCCAGGACGAAGTGAGTCAGGTATGCGAAGACCTGAGAAACATTTGGGGCAGAGGGAGCAACAAATGGAAAGGCTTGAAGGCAAGAAAGGGCATGTGTAATCATAGTAGGTGAATGGGAGAGCCTTAGTGAACTTGGAAGAGGTATTAGGGCCCTTCTCCATGGGAGCCAAGGTAAACCAGTTAGCCTGCCATGTGAGGTCTTTTATTACCTTGTCCTCATATTATCTCCTGAAAACTTCCCCCAAATACTTTAATACTTTATGTTTCAGCTATACCAAAGTCCCCTACCATACTGCTCCTTTTTAAACTTTTGCCAAGAATGTGTTGTGACATATTTTCTACCTACTGCTTATTAGTTAGCCTTTAAGTTTCACTTCAGACTTTTCTTCCTCTGTGAGACCTGTGTGCCTTCCAACAGACTTTGTCTCATTAGTTGGGGAACCTCATTGCCCCTTATATATATCACATTATGCTAAAATTGATTATTACATGTTTTGTTTAAGGCCTATCCATGCAGATATGTGTAGTTTATTCCTTTTCACTGTTGTGTAGTATTTCATTGACTGGTGAGATAATCATACTGGTGAACATTTAAGTTATTTCCAGTAATTTTTAGAAACTATGCTGCTATAAATACTCTGGTACACGGCTTTTTGCATACATGTATGAGTTTCTTTGTGGTGGTTTTCAGCCTATTTGACAGTGACTCAAACATTTTATAGCATGACTTGATGTTGTATGTATTTGTGTCTGTACACGTTACTAGTTTTTTCTGAAAGTCTAACAATAATATTTACCCTTCATATGATGCACTCATTTCCTTCTCTTCTAAAAATAAATACTTGTTGAGATTAAATTAATACATCGCAACCTACAGTTTAAAATACTGCTGTAGGGTGTGTTGTGTGTGTGTGTGAGTGTGTACCTGCACAAAGATATGTCATATTACATATATAAATTGATTGTGAGAGAAAGAGAAAGAAAGAGGGAGGGAGGGAGGGAGAGAAAGGGGGTGGGGGAGAGAATAGATTGATTGGTAGAAGAGTTTATTTATCTAGAACTTGACTAGATTTCAACAAATTGTTTTTTAAATGGTTATACATATTTGTACTTGGCTTGGTGCTCTGAATTGGGAACTTTGTGTTTATGGTCTTTTTACAGCACCTATTTGTCACAGAATAGTAGGTAAGTACTCATTGAATAGTTTTGTGAATGAAAATGAGGATTTCATGAAATCCTCGTGTTGAGGGGCTATTATCAAGGCAATTTTAGGAAATGTTACAAGGCTAATTTTTTAGAGTGGATAATACATTTGTAATTTCAGTTAGGCTTTAAAACATCTATTTTTGGAGGTTCATAACTATATTATTAAGATATGATAGCATATGATAACTATATTCCAAAGAAAGATGCATTGACAAAATTACATTATTATTTAATTTGGTCAAAAGTTATTAGAACTAAAGCTTCCCATAAATGATAGCAAAGTGGTTTTTTTTCCCTTTCAGGAATTAAGAAAATGGTTTTTATAGCCTTAAATTGTTTAAAACCCAAGCATCACCTAACATTTAGTTATCTCTAGTTTTTAAGCTTTTGCTCAATATAACATACCTATTTTTTTTCTATTACTGCTAGCATTATTGTACATGTTCTTATACATTTTAATACCTGTATGACCTTTGCTTATTATAAAAATGCACCACTGTACTGGGTGCTAAGGTTTTTACCTGCATTGGTAGTCCTATCACATATAAATGATGCTTCCTGTTTAATTTATTCAGTTGTAACTTTTGTTACATCAGGAAAACTGTGCTATAGAGAAAAAGTCTCCATTTGGCTATGGTCCCCTAGCGGATATGCTGAGGGGGATTATTCTATTTTAAGAATAAAAATGAAGCTGCACTTGGAATGCCTTGAAAATCTTTTGTTTCCCCATCATGCTCTTGACTCACTGCTTTTTTGGGAATTGTTTTTGAGAAAAGTTAAGATATACTTGTTTTGCTGACCAATATAGAAACTTCTCTAGAGAAGAAAAAGTATTGTATTTTGATTTTCAAAATTTCTTAATATGACATAAACTTGTACTTAAGTAGTGCTTTAAAACTTTCAACAAGTTTTTCATACAAGTCTCACCTAAGTAATGAGGACAGCCAATCCTAACTCTGTTTAATAGGTGAGAACCTTTGTTGCTCAGTTTGTTTCTTGTCCAATGTAATTTATACAGCTCAAAGGTGGCAGAGTAGGTTGACAGCACAGTCTTCTGGCCTTGAATTTATTTTGACACTGTTAGCAGTTAAATAGAGCAAGCCCCAGATGTTTGTCACTTTATAGGTGTCATTTCTAAATTTAAAAGTAGGATATTTTGGCATAAATTGTATATGCATAACCTGTTACCTAAGGAATTTGGGAGGATATATTTAGTTTTACTGCATTATAATTACTAGCTTCAGTGTTATTTTATAGATTGACTCTGACCTTTAGATAAAAAATATGTGCTTAAAACAAGCCTAAATTTTCTGAAAAGCTTGATTTTTTTTTATTGATACCTCTTACTGTATATATTTTTATAGTAAAATGATTCATACAAATCTATTAGTATAAGCCTCTGACCTATTTGACAAAATTTCTAGATATTATTTTTATTTTTCCATTTTTGCTTGAATTATACAAGCAATATGTAAAAATAGTCATAAGAACATTTAAAATTATCAAGAAAAAACATTCAAAGGTATGAAGAAGGGTACAGCTGAGGCTTGTATTCTTGTGTACTTATGTGAGTTTCTCTATTGTGTTTTTCAGAATTTTTTGACCATGAGCTAACATTTTATAGCACACCTCAGTTCATCTGTTAAATTTCATAATCTTAGAGTTATATTGGAGATTAATCTGATACAAGGCTTCTGGAGCCAGTCCTTGTTGTTTCTCATGCTTACGAACACTTAATATTAATTGATTTAAATTTTTTTCTAATATATTGAATTCAAAATGGAGATTGTAATAGTTTTAAAGGGCATATTCCCTAATTACTAGTGAGGTTGTGTTTGTTGTTATATGTTAATTGGCCATATATTTCTTCTGTAAATTACCCATTCATATCTTTCTGCCCATTTTTAAAATTAGGTTGGTTGCTTATTTCTTACTAATTTCTGAATTTTATTTTTTAAAATCTCTTTGATTTTTATTTATTAGTGTTCTTTTAAGCAAAGAACTTTTTACTGTGGGATGTTACTATTCCTGGTTCAACTACGTGGAGTGAAAAAAGTGTTCTCATAAATTAGTTTTAAATTACTAGATTTCGGGGAAAGTTTCTACAAAAGCAAAATTAGTAAACACATTAAGGTTCTTGAAAGTTGATTTATAACCTTTCAGTACAAACAAGACACATTCTTCTTAGCAGTCTGCTGCTGGTGCCATTTGAAAATTTAAGCATGTAAATTCTGTAAGCCTCCATTATAATTGTATTCAAAAAAACCCAGAATGATGTTTAAGTGCTGTCATGATATTTTAGTTTTTAATATTTGCTTTCCTTTTTTTTCTCCCTAATTAGGTCCCCGATGGGCTTCCTGGAATATCGGTGTGTTTATTTGCATCAGATGTGCTGGAATCCATAGAAATCTTGGAGTTCATATATCCAGGGTCAAGTCAGTAAACCTAGACCAATGGACACCGGAACAGATACAGGTAAACATTTTCTTACTAATAAATTATTAAAAATATCTAGAGTGAATTTAAAATCTTTAATCCTTGCATCTAAGGATTAATATTGAAATGTAGTGTGTTGAAATGGCATGTGCCACATATAAAATATGTGTGTTATTTGAATTGTCAATTGACAATGTTTTTCCTTCTTGAGTCTGTAGTAAAGTCAGTTTTTATAATCTATTTTTATCTAAAATAGTGATTTTGAAGTATTTAAAAAATGAATTCCTTTTCCTTGTATTGATGAAATTTACCCGTATAATTCTATAGTCTGTTTTGTTTTCCTGTCAGTAGAGGGAGCCTGGGTAAAGATAAAGAATAAACCACCTCTAGCATAAAAACTTAACTCACAGGAGAGGTGTTCTTGATTTTCAGACAGGCCTAATAGTTGGAAGACAGCCCAGTTAGCAAATGTTCTGATTACTGATTTGGACTTGTTTCAGATGGTTTAGCTTTGTTAGAGATAAGTTTGTAATTTTAAGGGTTTGCTGTATTTCCAGTATGACAGTCTTAAATTCGCAAAATCATACTTTCTAATTTTAAAGGTTGAATGTTGGTGTAAAAATGATTATTTCTACTGGTTTTATTTTATAATTCGCAGTGAAATTACACTACTTTTTCTTATGCCCTTTCAAAATACTTTGTTAGTATGAAGGCTAAATACACAGATACATGTAGTTGAACCTTAGTGATACACAGACCTCACAATCAGAAAGAACAAAACAAAACACAAAAATTGGCATGAATGGGGTGAGGTAAGGGTAGAGAGAATGGGGAGTGGTAATAAAATAGGTTATTTTTAAAAAGATACATCCATTTGGTTAAAGAAAGTAAAACTTCTATACTGAAGACTTATTTATACCAAAGTAAATTCTAGAGGTAGCAAGGATTGAAATATTTAAAAAAATTAAACCTTAGACATACTCGACGGAAAAAAAAGGAGTCGAGATCTTTAGGCTATATAGGCAAGCATAATTTATTTAGTTCAGTTTTAAATAAAGTTTTGAGCTTTTTGCTGGCTAGGGCATAAAAGAAAGCATGGTACTTTATGTGTTTTCAAGATCCTTGAGAAAATTTACCTGTTACATCAAGGAAGCAGAGCTTTTTGAACATTTCATATAAGTTAGTGTTCTGTAGTAACTGTCAACACATTTCATGATGTTGTTTCTTAAAGTTATCTTTAAGAAAATGTGAAATGTACCTTAAAAATGTAACTTGGTGTTTGTAATGAGTTATGGAGGTACGAAGCATTCAAAACCCAAAGTGTATTGTCTTTTTAATGACTATTCCAAACTAAGGACAAAACATGAAATCCCTGGACAATTCAGTTCTCTAGAAATATTATTTTTCTCAACTAGTCAGTTGAAAGGAGTTGAATAGCAGGTGATTAGCTGTTTTTTTCCTATAGCTTAGAGCAGAGCTTCCCAGTCAGAGGGCTGTAGTTCATTGGTTTTCTGTGGAATAGGTTACAGGTATACCATAGGATACTATTGTATTATTAAAAATGTAGGGATTTAGAAGACAATTATTAAGTAATATACAGTCTTTGAAATTGTATTTAAACACTACTTGTATGGTTCCAACTGCCAACTTCCTGAAATAAGAATTATTATTTTGAAATGTAAGACTTTGGTTAGTACTTGTCATCAGAGAATGCTCTTTATGGCTCCATATACAACATATCTCCTCTTCCAGGTGTCCTTTGATGAGAAATGTGGTTAGGATGCGCTTAAAAAAAATTACATGAGTAGACAATAAAATTTTACTTAAAAAAAAAAAAAGAATAGAGAAGCCTAATCACACAGACAGATGTACCATCCAATGTTCTTTGTAAGTAAAGCCAAAGTTGTTCCTTAAAAATTATTCTGGGACTCGTGTAATATAAATGAGGAGGTAGGTGGTGAAGACCCCAAGGTGCTGTACTATAGAACACAACCTTTATTTTAGCCTAGAAAATTTCAAGGCAATTGATTGTAGATAGACAGTAGAACAAAGTGATTAAGAAAGTTTTCCTAGTTAGACTGTCAGTTAGACCTGGATGGTTACAGGTGGATACTTAATTTCATGTGTCTGTTTCTTCATTTGTGAAATGGGAATAGTAATAGTGCCTACTTCTGTAGGTTGCTATGAGGATCAAATTAAAATTGACAAAGCATTTAGAACAGGACCTGGAATATTTTAAACACTCAATAATGTTAACTTGTCAGTTATTTGTAGTATTAGCCCACTTGTTCATTATGTAAAACCCTCAGTATTGCTGCTTTGAATATCTTTCTGACCTTGAGCAGTTTAACCTTCTAGTGAATCTTCTGTGATGAATTGGTTGCTAAATGCAGTGCTGAGTAAATAAATTGATTTATTGTGTGGTATTGAGTGTAAATTAATTAATTTTTGAGCATATTTGTGAAACATAATTTATTTTTAGTAGTATTCGATGTCAAGGCATTTTGAGATGTATAGTTAGGTATATCACATCAGTTGTCTATTGAGGTTGCTCCTAATTCAGATTTAAGCATACCGTATTTCCTGTGGTGATAGGTATGTTTCATATAATCCAACTCAATTTATACCTTGCCTCTTTCTTCTTTTTTTCCTTTCTTTAATGTTTGCTTTAAAAAATTGAGGTGTAATTACAGAGAAAAAATTTACAGATATAAGTGAGTTTTATTTGTCTTGGCAAATGTCTATACTGTGTCACTAACAGCCCATTGAAGATATACAGAGCATTTCCATCACCCTAAAAAGTTTCCTTGTGCCAGTTTCTAATCAGGTCCCTCAGGGGCAACCACTACACTAATTTCTAGACCCTTGGGTTGCTGTGCATTGGAATTTTTATATTTTGGAGTTGGTTTTTATTGACGCTGACTCTTAACTCAGATTAGGGGAAGTAAACATCACGTGATTTAGTGTTCCTTATTCATATGATATTTTATAAGAATTTCCTTGATATAAAAAAATGCTTGGGTGGTATTTATTTGTAGATGAGAAATACTTTTACTGCATATACTTCTATGTCTTTTCCTCCCACCACGCCAACATTTCATGAAAATCATGTTTCTAATTTTCAAAGATGATACACTATTTAGTTTTGGTTAGTTCTGGGTTTTTTTTAGATCTTTTATTAGTTAATGTGGAAATATGATTTTATCTCTGAGCCCAGTTGAGCTATTAAGTAAAAATATTTTTTGTGTGACTTTGTAAAATGTAACTAAAGTTTTGCCACAAGGTTTCTTATCAGCTGGCTATATGTACAACATATTTATATTAGTTAATTTATATATATGTTGTGTGTGAGATAATTTTTTAGGGGTTCTACCATACCATAGCTGTGTTAGAATTGCCGTATGCTTATTTTTAAAAGAAAATAATTTATCTTCCAAAACTTATTGTGATTTTTAGCATTGAAATAGTTATTCACCTTAAATCTTAATAAAAATTTTTAAAAAAAATGTAGTTCATGGTCAGATTAAATGTCTTTATTGGATTTATTGCCAGCTAGGTCTCTTTTTTTTTTTTTTGAAAGGACTGATTTTTTAATACTTTTATAAATACTATAGCTTTAATTTTTTTTTTTTAATTTTGTACTAGTTCATTAACCCTAAGTCTTTTCATTTTCCTCCGTTATTTATAAATTCTCAATTATTTATTTTCAGTGTCTGTGTTGAAGGAGTTAAAATGAAGATTATTTTTATTGTAGAGGAGTGTTATTTGTGCTCTCAAGTTTCTTAGCTCACTTTGTAGAGAGAGGAAGGGAGAAAAGGAAAGAAACATCGATGTGAGAGAGAAACATTGATTGAGTGCCTCCCGCACACGCCTTGACTAGGGATGGAACCTGCCACCTTTTGGTGTGCTGGACGAGGCTCCAACCAACCGAGCCACGCTGGCCAAGGCTATTTTTATTTTTTTAATGAAGCTACTAGAAAATTTAAATTGATGTAACTGTCTCAGATTATCATTTTGTTGCACAGCAGTGGTATAGATAGTTGTTATGCATTTACCTGTAGCCATTGCAGCCTTCTTTTGCTTAATGTTTGCACTGTATATCTTCTTTCATGCTTTTATGTTTAACCTATCTATGTCTTTAAATATAAAGAGACTTCAAGACAAGAAATACTTACATGTGGTATGCTCTTTCAGTATGTAGTTTCAAATTTTTTTTATTTCCGTGACTTTTCAAAAATTAGTTTTTTAGTATTCTGTTTCCTTGTTTAAGTTTTCTTCTTCTGTGACTTTCTTACCTGTATGTTGGATCTTCATTGCTTAACTCCTATATTTGTCACTTTCTCTTGGATCCCTTTCATTACCTCTTTTTAAAATTTAAAGTATTTTTTTCTTTTGCCTCTCTAATTTTCTTGTGTTTATTTGTTCTCATGTTCCATTTTATTTCATATTCATTTCAGGAATATTTTTTCTTTTATTTCTAATTCTTTCCTGAGTTTTTATTTTAATTCTCAATGTTTCTAATTCCTGATTTAGTGTTCTTTCATAACTTCATGTCTTTTAACTCATTTTACATGTTCTTTCATATCTTGTACATGTGTTTTAGCTCGTTTTGAATTAGTAGGTTATAGTTTCTATCTGTTTTCTGGTCCTGTTTGTTCTAGTGTTTCATTGTAGAGATGTTATTCTGCTTCTAATTCTCTTTTTCTATGAGATTTGACCTTGATTCTTTTCTGTTGATTGATTACTGTTATTATTTTGAGAGAGAGAGGGGAAGTGAAAGGGGAGGTGGGGAGGGGGGAAATGTCATTTTGTTTCACTTATTTATGTATTCATTGGTTGCTTCTTGTATATGCCCTGTCCTGGGATCAAACCCTAAACCTTGGTGTATTGGGACAATGTTCTAACCAACTGAGCCTACCCAGCCAGAACTTTCTTTTCTGTTTATTATTTTTTGTGTGACATTAGTTTTCTATTACTTTTATTTATTTATTATTATTTTTTTTATATCTTTATTGATTTCAGAGAGAGGAAGGGAGAGG